CCCCAAAACCCCAAAACCCCAAAACCCCAAAACCCCTTTTATATTAAATTAGGTTGAAATTAATCAGAATCTGAATCAGAACCCAAACCTGCAAGCATCTCAAGAGGGTTAGGACAAGCCTTCACTTCCTTTGCAGGCTCAGCTGGTTTTGGAGTGACTTTCACTCTCTTGTTTAGCTTCACAGCAGGTCTTTTAAATACTGGCCCGCTAGAACTTTTGATTGGGTCTGGCTTCACCATTGATTTCATTTCTCTTTTATTAATATTCACCATGCCCATGATTCCTTCATCTCCACTACTTTCATCATCTTCTTCCTTTCGTTCAAAAATGGCGTCTTGTTCCATCATTTCCTCTCTCTTCCTTCTGAGCTTTGAGAATTGCTCCTTAGCATCCTTCTGTAGCACGTCTTCTTGCAAGGACTGCATGTATTGCTTCCTAGAGGCTTCAATCATATCCTCATGGTTAACGTTGGCATGCCTCTTGTTAAGATGCCTGACTTCTTCAAGGTTGTCCAAAATCTCCATCTCTCTTTTAGAGTCATAAGTTTTATTCTCAAGACTCTTCAGGATATCGTTCTGCTCTTCTAGCTTTCTGACGGCAGCTTTGGCAGTCTCTGCGCATCTCTGATCTCTCCAAGGCTCATAATTTCTCGTAGCTCCAAATTCACAGACATAGTCTGAATTTTTAGGGTCGGTTTTCATAGTGAGTTCACCAGAACATCGCTTGCATTTCCAATGGAACCGATAAATAGCGATTCCAAGGTAATCCTCGTCCTCTACAGTAGCTTTTCTCATATTAAACTTAGTCCCAATTTTCATGAACTCTCCACAAGTCTTGCACCTGACACTCATAGGAAGCATCATTCGGACTGAAACTCCTTTATTTCTTGCCTTCGCTCTGCTCCTTCTTCGGAACCATGTCTCTAAGCTTCTTGGCTTTGTACAACTTGTCAGGATCAAAATCAGGAGGATAGTATTTCACCAGGACCTTCCGTTCAGCCATTTTGTTAGAATAATATTACAATCACAGACAAATTATTTGGGGTTTTGGGGTTTTGGGGTTTTGGGGTTTTGGGG